CCGGAATTCTCTGATCCTTTGAAAGAAATTTTGCAAGGCGGTGTAGTGGCCCCCTTTTTCTTTGGACTTAACAATCATGTCGTCCACGTACACCTCCACCTCTTTGTGGATCATGTCATGCAATATCATGGTTGCGGCCCGTTGATATGTAGCTCAGCGTCCTTCAGCCCAAATGGCAGTCTTTTCTCGATCTTCGGTGCCATCACTATCTGGTTGTAGCCTGAAAAGTCTTCTGCAGAATGTGCTTGATGTTCTTGTTGGCGGCCTCAACCGCTCCATTGGTTTGCGGCCGGTATGTGGATGATTTATGAAAAGTCACGTTGTATTTTTCCAACAAGTCAATCACTTCCTTCTTGAAGTGGGAACCATTATCTGAAATGACCTCGTTCGGGACCCCATAACGACAGATGATGTTGTTTCTGATAAACTTTGCAACTTGCGACGCCTTCAACACCGCATAAGATTGGGCCTCAACCCACTTCGTGAAATAATCTATCACGACTAGGATGAACTCATGCCCATTCGACCCCTTCGGAGTAATAGCCCCGATCACATCGATTCCCCAAACTGAAAATGGCCATGGCGAAGTCATATTATACAGCTTCGACGACGGAATGTTCATGCGGTTCGCATGGTTCTGACATTTGTGGCATCGCCGAACAAAGCCGATACAATCCTCCTCCATGGTGGACCAATAATAACCTTGCATAAGGATCTTTCGCGCTAGCATTACCCCGTTCATATGCGCACCGCATTCCCCTCCATAGATGGCCTCCATCAGGCATTTTGATTCTTCAGCTTCAACGCACAGCTTATGCATTCCCAGATGACCTCTCTTATACAATTTATCTCCGCAGATGATGAACTGAACGGCCATTCTTCTGATTGCCCTTTTATCCTTGGTATTTACCCCTGGTGGATATGCTCCCTTCTCCAAGAAATTCCAAATATCGTAATACCAGGGGTTCTCATCTTGAACCTCGTCTATAGTAGCAATCGACTCGTAAGCCGACACAAATTTCTGGTCGATAATGACTGGACGCATCCGGACCGCAAACGGGATGTCTATCATGGAAGATAGAGTTGCTAGTGAATCTGCAAACCTGTTATTTTCTCTTAGTAGATGAGTGAAGTTTAGCTTCTCAAACCGAGGAATCAGCAGATCCAAGGTCTGGTGGTACATTATCATCTTTTCCTCTTTGACCTTCCAGTCTCCTTTTGCTTGAGACACAATAAGGTTCGAGTCCCCGATGACGTCCAACCGTTTTGCCCCTAGTTCCAGGGCTGCTTCTAGATCAGCAATGCATGCCTCATATTCTGCTTCGTTGTTCGAGACTTTGAATCAGAGTTTGAACGCTAGAGGGATACGGGAATTGTCGGGTGCTATCAGTAACACCCCTATCCCATACCCGTACTGGTTTGACGCTCCGTCAAAGTACATCGTCCAAGTTTCGTCTTCGATATGCAAAATGGCCTCATCTAGGAACAAGTACTCAACTGCTTCACCTCCTTCCACTGGATGATCGGCTAAGAATTCTGCTACTGCTCTTCCCTTGACTGACTTGCACGTCACATTTTTCAGATCGAATTCGGAAAGCAACAGCAACCAACGAGCTAGCCTACCCGTAAGTGCCGGTTTCTCGAAGAGATATTTGATGGGATCTAGTCATGAAACCAACATTACGGAGTGAGCTAACAGGTAGTGCCGCAACTTCCTGGTAGCCCATACCAAAGCTAAGCAAGCATTTTCCAACGGTGTGTAGTGAGTCTTATACTCTAGCATCTTCTTGCTCAAATAGTAGATAGCTCTCTCCACTTTGTCCTCTGATTCTTGCGCGAGCATGCAACCCATCTTAGTCTCAGTTACTGAAAGATACAAAATCAACAGTTTCTCCGGCTCTAGCGGTGACAACACGGGCGGGTTCTGTAAGTATTCCTTGATTTGTTCAAAAGCAGCTTGGCATCGGCCGTCCCATTGGAATTTTTTT